TTCTTCCAACATCTTCAGGCTGCCTTACATGACTTCCTATTGACTAATTTATGAGACAGGATGCTGGACTAGATGGAACATTAGTCTGATCCAGCAGGGCTCTCCTTAAGAACATAAGAGAAGCCATGTTGGATCAGGCCAGTGGCCCATCCAGTCCAACACTCTTGTGTCACACAGTGGCTAAGACCCAGGTGCCATCAGGAGGCCCACCAGCGGGGCCAGAACTCCAGAAGCCCTCCCATTGTTGCTCCCCCCAAGTGCCAAGAATACTGAGCATCACTGCCCCAGACAGAGCATTCCATCTCTAGGGGTGGGCAAACTACAACGTGGGAGCCGCATGTGGCTCTTTCACACAGTCTAATTTAATGTTAATCAAAAGCAAATTTGAATATCTTTCAGTAAAGGTGTGTGTGTGATATTTGTTCATGTCTTGCGGCTTGTTAGCCGAGTTGCTTTTTTTAAAGCAATTGGCAATTTATAAATGGGTTCTTGCCAATTTATACCAAGGTCCTGTTCCCACCAAGGGTTACCAGAGAAGGAGTCGAGGCTGGTGTTATTAAAATAAATGTCTTTTACTTAAGAAAATAAATCTCATACAAACAATACTGATGCACTCACACATTCAATCAAGTTCCTTAGAAATACAGTTGCATTAGCAGGTAAGGTGATGGTGGGTGATACTTATCTGTCTTCGCAGCTTGGTTGTTCCAATGAAGAATGGATGGGGAGAAATAGAAATCTAGAACCAGCCAGCACATGTGGGTCTCTTGACTGCCGATCAAGAGATCAAAGTAGAGGCAAGGGTTGGGGATAGCAATTGGGACTCAAGTGGAGTAAAAAGCAGACAGGGGTTGTTGCGGGGAATGCTAGCTAGGAAGGGCCAGGTGAATAGCCCTTACATTTTATAGGTGGTCCATTGTGTGGGAGGTAACTGTTCCAACCTGTGGAACCACCTTCCTGTTAGTCCGTCCCAAACTAATCCTATTGGTTACCTCTAGGAGTGTGAGGTTGCCTATAAAGAGTGGTCAATATTGAAATCTGAAACCTTACTCAAGGAAGACATCTGGGCAGGTGTGAAACCTTGGCGTCAGGATGCTTCATTGAAGTGTTGATGAAAGCTGGCCATCTTATTGTAAACCAAATGTCCATTTGGCAGGAAATTCCAATGCAGGAACAAAGCATGGATGTGTCGTACGTGATCACAACTAGATCTGCAATGGGGGCTGTCTCTTTTCAAGTTGTTGTTTCTGACTGCTCACAATAATGGAGGTGTATGTGCTCCTTCATCAGGCTGGTAACTGTGTAACTTAAACCTCATTCACGTGTAAGGCTTGTACAGGCACCTTCTATGTGTTGCATCACAACAGGTGACTTGTAATTTACAGTTCTCTGAGCCTATGTCTGTCCATTGCGTGTGTAGCGATAAATATAGTCCATAAAGCAAAATATCAAGTTCATTCTCTAACAGGCTCTCAGACATCTGACGTTTATTCTATGCGGCTGTTACATTAAGGAAGTTTGGCCGCCCCGATCTATACCTTGTGACCAATAGCCACTAATGGATCTCTGCTCCATATGTTTATCCAGTCCCCTCTTGAAGCTCTCCATGCTTGTAGTTGCCACCACTTCCTGCAGAAGTGAACTTCATGTGTTAATTACTCTTTGAATCAGACCCTTGGTCCATCAAAGTCAGTATTGCCTACTCAGGTTGGGAGCAACTCTCCGAGGTCTCAGGTGGAGGTATTTCCCATCACCTACAACCTGATTTTTACTGGAGATGCCCAAGATTGAACCTGGGACCTTCTGAATGCGAAGCATGCTGTCTCCTTCCAGATATCTCTGTGCACCAACTACGGTCATCTGTTGGCTACCCAAACACTTAGGATGGCCTGTCTTGCAGTGACCAAAGCCTGGACCTTTTCCATCATGGTTCTAGTTCCATGGAATGGGCTTCCTGAAGAGCCTGTTGCCCTGCAAGGCGCTTATAGTGCTCTTATGGACATTGTTCATAGGTGATAAAATCTCGACTGTGCAAATAGTGTGCAAAAGGGACTGAACTGTGTGGTGACCCAAAAGTGATGCCAGTTGCAGACACACACCCAGAAGACGGAAGGCTTCCTTTGAGATAATGTGCCTACGGTTCCTGAGATTACCTACCCTCTTACCTGCTGTAAGATGGACCAGCCACATGAAGCACCGAAAGCCGGACAGATGCCATGCCAAGACAGCAGACCAGAGACATGAGATCCAAATGCCATGTGGAAGCTTCTTCCTTGCACGCACAGGCAGCATTCCCTTCCCCCACCCAGCCTCTTTGGGGACGGACCAGCAGGAGGTGTGCCAGGTGATGTGGCCAGCCTAGCCCACCCCCCCATGCCACCTTATAAAAGGGGGCACCCAGCCATGTGCTCTCTCTCTCTCTCCCCTATACCCATCCTAACTCCATGACTCTTGGTTTGTGCAGCCAGAGTCTCCATGTGTCTCTGTTGGTTCAGGACACGACCCTATTACCCCATAGTCTTCCTTATTTTTCCCAAGGATTGCTTCATCCCGCCGAGGACAGGTAAAGTATTACCCCTCAACGACTATCCCGCTAATGCGTATGTGCTACCCTCTTCTAATTTTCCTAGACCTATGTAATTGTGAATGTGTTTGAATTATTGTATGCTTGTGAGATATCTTCAGTAAACGAAACATTTTATACTGAAGCCAGCCTTTGAGTCTATTTCTGGTGCGCCTGGAAGAAGCGGGACCCCTGTATACATAGGTGCTTGCTCCCTTATTTGCCTATTGCCTTGCGTAATACCATAAATCCCCTAAGATCATCAATAATTGGAGGCAATTTGGCTAACAAGGTGAGGGAAACCTCCTCCCTGGAGAACTTCAGGTGCTGCAAAGCCTGACTGTTTGCCAGGACTTTTGATCCGGTTCAAATGACAGACACCTTTTAGGAATGGGGAGGGATTCGGGGCTTGCTATTTTGCCCTGACCTGGACAGCCCAGGCTAGCCTGATCTCGTCAGATCTGGGAAGCCAAGCAGGGTCAGTCCTGGCCAGTCCTTGCATGGGAGACCATCAAGGAATGCCAGGGTCGTGAGACAGAGGCAAGCAATGGCAAACCACCTCCGAACATCTCTTGCCTTGAAAACCCCACGGGGTCGCTGTAAGGTGGCTGAGACTTGATGGCAACAACAACAACAAAATCATCTTTGGCTTTAGCTGAGGATGTTTTTAATTATTACTGTAAGCTGCCTTGAACCAAGAGAAAAGGCGGGATAGAGGTGGGTGGATGGATGGACAGACGGATGGACAAACGGATGGACAGACAGATAAAAACCAGATGAATCATAGAATGTTAGAGTCGGAAGGTACCTTGCAGGTCATCTAGTCCAACCCCCTGCACTCTGCAGGAGCAGAGCCGAAAGACAGCCCGACATACCTACATACCTCTATGCTCTACCTCTGAGATGTGGACCCTCCCCCACTTTGAAGAATCGAGGCTCTAATCCATGATAGCCCACGTTGGAATAAAATTCTGTTCGGCTTTAAGGTTTCTTCAGAGTCCTGTTGATTTTTGCTGCGACAGACCAATATGGCTACACTGCTGGAATTAAAAAAAAAGAAGGGACACCTCCTTCACTCTCTAAAGAACACTGCGCTTTATTAAAGTGACACAACCACAGAAATGAAAGAACAACCATGGGTATCTCATGCATCCTTGTTTTTGTCCAACAGTCCAAATCTTACAGAAGAAAATGGACCTTTTTGTGGACAACCTGAGGCTCTTCCGGAGGTCTCCGGAGGTGGGGCCAGTTAGTAACTTACCTGCCATGCAATTTCCAAGCAGTAAAATCACAGTGGAAATCATACACGGTGGAGACAGGCAGGTGGGTAAACAACCAAAGCGAAATATTTATTTGGCAAGTATATCTTACATACGATTTAAGCTTCTCCGGCGCAGACACACAGAGAGACCGAAACCCGTTCTTCAGTTTACGGCAACCTCTCAATCACAGAGTGATTTAATTCATCTCGGTGGGGTGATGTCAGGTTTACGAGTTGGACCATTATGTCTCAAGACTGGAAGAAAACAAATCTCCCGATGCTTCCAGAAAAGGAGAGGGGCTTGAGGAAACATCATCTCTCTCTGAAGCTCTCACAAACATCATTCCAGATAGCTATTTCGGCAGGACTCCCGTACGTACAAGGCACGGCATTTAGGGAGACGTGGAGCTAGAACATTGTCCTGTGAAACAATACCACAAGAGGGAAAATTCCTCCTGCTAGAGACTAGCCAGTCTTACCCATCCAGTTCCAAAACTATCCAATCTTGCCCCATCCAGTTCCAAAACTATCCAATCATGCCCCATCCAGTTTGAACCAGTCTGAATAGCAACAGTAAGCCCTACCCGGTTCTCTCTTTCACACGTAGGTGTGTGCAAGCAGACAACTAGAAAAGGGAGCGAGAAGGTTAGATGCTACGGTTCGCGAAGGGAACAGACAGGCAAAGGTCCCCTTGCACAAAGACTTATCAGTCGTGGCTCCCAGAAAGCAGATGCACTATGGCCCACACAATGGAGAGAAGACGCTTCCTACTCAGAGCCTGTTGGTGGCTGACAAGCATCAGTTGTCATTGCAAGAGCCTGTGTACGAAAGAGCAAAGATGAAGACGGAAAAACGTGCCCCCTTTGCAGTATTGTGGGCCATGATGAGCGGGATTAGTTGATCAATGAGCATGGTACGCAATGATTTCTGTCCACACAAAGCTAAGAAAATGAGCAAACTTGGTCCCTGATGCCTAGGAATGAGCTTAAGGAAAGGATAACCATCCAGTAAGGAATGAAGCTACTTAGTGAATGTCCTTATGGAAGGACCAAGGTGCATGTCAAAGACTAGAGCAAAAGACCAAGGTGGGGTTGTCCGACAGTCGAGCTAACGTGTATATCCCTGATTTTCCTATTCTTCCCAATCTCTGCAGTTTGGGGTGTCAGAGGGGGGGAAAACAAATAAATTGGTATTCTATAGCTCTGCAGTTTTTCACCCCATGCAAGTTTGTGTGCATGGATTTTGGGTGCGTCTGAACCCAGGAAATCCAAGAGAAATGTAGACAGAAATGGGTCAATATACAAATTTCATAACCCTATGGTTGCATTTAGGAATGGCATTTTCCATGGACCAGGATCCTTTCTGGAGAGCAGCAGATGATTGTTCTTATGAGTGGAGAGCTTTGTTTCAGAGGGCTGGGAGGTGGAGAAAAAGGTGTGAATCTACAACTTTATGTATAGGTGATATGACCACACAGGCACGATCGAAGGCACCTGTCCCAGGACCTCCGGTTGGCCAATGCAGAAGAAACATGACAGTGAAAAGAGCAGCCCGAGAAGAAGTGAATATGTGCATTTGGAGAAAGACAATGCTCCACTGAGTGCAGCTTCTAAAGCTGGCATATAGCGGAGTCTTCAATTCGGGCCCAAGTGCGTACAGACTGAAATCAGTGGACATTTGACCTCTGACACCTGACAAGCAATGTGTTGTGGATATTGTGGAGAAGTTTGGAAGAAAGGTGACCCCCGCTCCCCAAGGTAAATCTCAGAACATGAAATAAACTCGACATTTTCTGTGGATGCTGTGGGACACATCGGCCTTTATGGATTCTTTACATGTTGCCCTCTGAAACAAAAGATCTTGAAGACAATTCGGCCACAAAGTACTGATGACTAGTTTAAAAAAAAGTTTTGCCCCTGCTTAGTACATCGATTAAAGGACATGTAACTCAGATGACAAAGAATACACCATGCTTAAGCTCTTCCTTCTAAGCAAAGGCATTCTAATTAGTGGTTGGATGTCAGAGAATTCTGTGTTCTGCATGCTGAGCCGACCCATTATGCAGATTACGTGGCAACCGATGGCCCCAGGCAGGCTTTGAAAAATGTCCAGATGACAATGGAAAGTTACAGGTACAAGTTACATTCCTCCAGTCAACCTTGTTTCCTTAATATCTTATTGACCTTTCTTCTCTGAGGATCAGAATTTCTCTCCTGGGCTTCATAGGTTCGTATCACACAGAAATATTAACCAGTGAAAAGAACTGGTCTGCATTTACTGGAATGCAAGATGTTTATCCAAATTCAGGAACTCTCTATCCTACCTAACCATCTATTTATAGATGGACTGCATAGCCAGGAAGAGCCGGTGTTTCAATAAATATGGCAGGGGAAAGGGGAAAAGCACGATGAAGAATATACATGTGCAAGACACCCACTGGGTGGAAATGTCTCCCTAGAAAGTTACATCAACAAGGTAATAATTCCATTTTTCTTGCCTTAAACTGAGTTAAAAAACCAGTTCTGATGAGTTCTGGGAAGTGTATCAGTTCACTCAACCATACAGGGACTTATTTTCAATCTGTGGTAACTTATTTGTACAGGATTGGACTGAACGTGAATGGACCAAGTAGTCTGAGTTGTTCTATTAGTGGCTCAGATCTCTTTGTTGTACGGCAGTTTAGGACAGTCCAAGATCTCGTGTCCTGATAGTGCAGTAAACTGGATCCCGACATCATGGTGGATCTCTCAAATTACTATTTTGCCACAGGAACACTACACCTGGGGCATCAAAAAACAAACAAAAAACCAAATTGACACATATTGAACACAAGACCCCAGTGTGGACCCCGGAACTGATCCCAAGCCTGCGAGTGGCCACTGGGGGAGATCCATGCCATATCCCGAGCCTCTATTTCCTACACAAAGATGCTACAATATTCTTAGGGGCTTTGGAGTGGAAAGTAACTTGGGAAACTGTGCCCATCAGGACTCTAGTACAAACTGTGAGACAGCAACGAATAACCCTTAGCTGGACAAATGCTGATCTCCTAACTAGCACTAAAGCTACACATCCTAGAAACTAACACCAAAACAGCAGAATTTTATTCCCGCAACTATACAATAACCATTGTCGTGAAGAAGAATGTCCTCCGATATGCTAATTGGAAAATGAGAAAAATCCATTTCCTCGGTATACCCAATCACGTCTTTTCAAATACACAAACGCAGCTGTCTCAAATTATCGTCAGCCGACTGTGGCTATCTCTCGGATGCACCTCTATGAAAACAACAAAAATTCCAGTCTGGAAAGTAACATACTCAGGGGGGAGGGGGGGCAAGGAGAGGACGTGCCATGCTCTGGTAGGCATAGAGGCTAACGCGATACGGTGCGGCACATTCACAGCTTGCTCTAGAGGACCGGATCCACAGCGCGGATGTGAATGCTGGGCAGGCAGAACCACGAGAGAGGGAGTTCCCTGCTGGAGCCGTCTTCGTGGAATTTGATGTTCAAGTAGAAATCGCCTGTGTAGAGGAAAAGGAGGGCACCAATGCACACCGAGTTCTCCGTGGGTTTCACCTGGAAGAGATGGCCGGAAGTTAATAAATACTGATATTTACTGGCAACAGAAAGCAGTTTATTTTATTTTTTAATTAAAACCTTTTCAGGCTTCCTTTCTGCCTGATTGGGATCCTCAAGGTGGTGCACATAAAAAACCCCACTCAAATAAGCAAATTGGACTTGGGGTCTTCCGAACTGCTGTGTTCGGGTCTCGAACTGCTGAACTACCGACCTTCCAGCCTGCAGTTCAGCATCTTAACCAACAATCTCCAGTGGCCAATCAAAGTCCTTACCTTCCCCCACCCATTTTCTAAAAACACTTGGTGGGCTCCAAGAAAAGTGTTGGTGGGCAATATGGTGCCCACGGGTGCCATGTTGGCGACCCACGTCATACAGCATGCGGTATCTGGAAGGCGCCAAAGACCACAGACTATAAATAATGGCTATCATTACAAAAAGGAGGCGATCAGCAGCTTTATTAAGAGGAAGGAGCATCCTGATTCAGCAAGTCCCCATTAAGAATGCCATGACAAATTATTGCTTCCAAAGTTTATATTGATTGCTTCAGTCATAGGACAATGCACAAACTATACAATGGAAGCAACACGGGAACCAGACCCACAAATGGACGCAGGAATTCAAATTTGATTTAAAAAAAAAATTAACTGATTCCAATCTTTTGAGTAATATAAACAACAGAGAAATGGCAATTAAGGAAACCATCAACCCAGAAATTCAAAACCCTAGACATGGCTGTCACATCAATCAACACCAATTTTAAATAGCCTTGTAAAACCCTTCGTCAAAATGCCAGCCCTGCTTGTTTTTCTAAAGGTTAAAAAACCGAGGTCTTCCAACGGGTCATTCTATAACCACTCCCTGAGAGACATTTCTTTTTTAATTCCAAGAGAATTGTAGCTCTTTAGCAGGCCAGCCGGGGAGTCGTCCTAAATGTGAGATGGTTTATGAAGGGAATGAAAGGTTCAAACCAAAATGCTGAACTGGGCCTGGAAACTTATCAGTAATTGCTGCAACAGGAATTGATTATTTTCTCCTCTCCCTGAATGACTGAGGGGTAAGAAAGCATTCCATGCAAGCTGCAGGTTATTTACTGATTTGTTTACTTACTTATATCCTGCCGTTCTCCCAAATGGGATCCCAAAATGGCTTACACTGTTCTCCTCTGTTTTATCCTCACAACCCCCCCCGTGAGGAAGGTTCAGGCAGAGAGCATGCAAATGGACCATGGTCACCCAGCAAGCTTCCACGGCAGGGTAGGGATTCGAATGTGGATTTCCCTGACTCTAGTCAGACACTCTAACCCAGGGGCGTCGAACTCATTTGTTATGAGGGCCAGATCTGACATAAATGAGACCTTGTTGGGCCGGGCCACGTGTGTCATAAAATGTCATGCCAGGTAGCAGAGATATAAACTTTATAAAGGACACAAACACAAAGGGTTCTTTTTTACTTAAAATAAAAACATGCTTAAAACATTAGCTCTGTAAGCTGCAAACCTACTTTTGATTTATTGACACTCACCACAGAAATCGCATGCTCAGAGTTCTGAGTCTAGGACCCAGGGGAAAACATGAAATGGCTGAGTGATGAAGAGAGTCTGGTGAAGCAAGCTGTGATGCAGAAGCAGCAGCAGAACTGGAAGCAGGAGATGGCCAGTTCCACTGCGGGCCTGATGGAAGCCCTCTTGGGGCCTGATCCGGCCCCTGGGCCGCGTGTTTGACAACCATGCTCTAAACACTACACCGCACTGGCTCTGTGACCACATGGAGCGAATTACAAAATGGCCACCATAGGAGGTGGAGACAAACACAGAGGAAGCCCAAGCACCGAGGTCAAGAGACCTCAGGGGGGGGGGATGAAGAAGAAGAGAAGAGATTGGATTTATACCCCGCCCTTCACTCGGAGTCTCAGAGCGGCTTACAAACTCCTTCCCCTTCCCCTCCCCACAACAGACACCCTGTGAGGTGGGTGAGACTGAGAGAGCTCTGACAGAAACTGCTGTTTCAAGAACAGCTCTGACAGGACTATGGCTTGCCCAAGGTCATCCAGCAGCTGCATGTGGAGGAGGAGGAGAGCTCTGACAGAAACTGCTCTTTTCCCAAGAACAGCTCTGACAGAACTATGGCTTGCCCAAGGTCATCCAGCAGCTGCAAGTGGAGGAGTGGGGAATCAAACCTGGTTCTCCCAGATTAGAGTCCGTGCACTTAAACACTACACCGAACTGGCTCTCCTACACCAAAGTATAAACTGGTCATAATGGAAGAACACAGAAGCAGGTGGGAGGTATGCAGGTGGGTGAGAGGTCAGGGAGGGTGCAAGCAGGGGGCCTGGTGGTGGGAAAAGGATGGGAAGACCCCGAGAACTGTCTTCCCGGAGCCCCCTGACACCCGGAACCAGACCTGGTCTCACCCAAGGCACTTGGTCCTATGCCCCCTCTCCACAGTTTGCACTACGTGGCTCACCAAGCTAAACGTGGCATTGCCAGAAGTCATTGCCTTTCAGGTATTCCATTCAGATTCATCAACAGAAGGAAGGGGTCACACTCAGCCTGGATTGCACGTTCTACTTTTTCCATGACTTTTGCAACTGCTTTTGCATTTACATGGCACTTTCTGCACCCCCTCCCCCCTCCCCTTCACCACCTACACGTCTCTGGCCGGTCTCTTCATACCCTCCATGCATCTGACGAAGAGAGCTGTGTTTCTCGGAAGCTTACGCTACAATAAAGTTTGCTAGTCTTAAAGGTGCTGCTGGGCTTTTCACTATTTTGCAGCGACAGACAAACACAGCGAACTCCTCTTGATCTGTGACAAGAATGCTGGCACCCTAAGGTTTGTAACGATGAATGAGCCTCACTGAGGTTTTTTTGGTTCCCACGGTTAGCGTCACAATTGTAGACAATGACAAGAGACGCCACAGGAACCAACCCTGCAAGCGCCAGAGTCCGTTTTGCATTTTTCATGAAGGGAATGCTAACAGGCATGTCTACTCAGAGACTTCTCTTAATGCCTCTTCCCCATTAGTTACAGGGTGATTTTAATATTTTATTAGTACATTTAAAACCCCACTACGGTCAAGAGATTAATGCTGATGCAGCCTAACCTGGCGCGGGTTTAGCCAGAAAACAAACCCTCTGCATTGTATTCCAATGAATAGAACCAGGGGTCATTTCCTGCAGGAGCGCATGGGAGCGGATCTCCGGCAGTAAAGAGCCCAGGGGGCGGGCACATGCAACAAGCCCCGCCCCCTGCTCCCAGCAGCCCTCAGTCAGAGCAAGAAGCAGCCAGGTAAGTTGCAGAACTCCCCCCGGCCCCCCGGTCTAAAACAGTCCAGTGGCACCTTTAAGACCAAGTTTTATTCAGGTACAAGCTCTCCCTCCTCTGCGAGGACAGATCTGCACATTCCCCCCCCCCAATAGCTAGCAATCCAAAACAGTCCAGTGGCACCAAAAAATAGAGCACCCCCCCCCCAGCCACCTTCAGGTACAAGCTCTCCCTCCTCTGTGAGGGCAGATCTGTGCGTTCCCCTCCCCCCCCACAGCTAGAAATCCAAAACAGTCCAGTGGAGCCTGAGCGGTGGGTGTTGCCTTCTGACACACTTCCGGTGATGTCAGGGTGTGTGGCATATGCAAATATGTTATGCCTATGAGTTATGCTAATGAGCTCCTGCGCCTCTTTTTCTACAAAATAATCCCTGAATAGAACTATGTTCAGGATTGAAGTCTTACATTCATTCCTATGTAGCCCATTCCTCTCAAACTGTATTGGTTTTTGTTCAGTTGTATTTGTATGAAACTGAAATTTCTTGTTCTTACAATATAGCAAAAGGGTTCCTGAGGTTGACTGTGAAAAATTGCTAGGTCCAGGTTGGGAAACACCTGGAGATTTGGGGGTGGAGCCTGGGGAGGACAGGGACCTCAGTGGGGGTACAGTGCCACACAGTCCACCCTCCAGAGCGTCCACTTTCTCCAGGGGAGCTGATCTATGCAGTCTGGAGATGAGCCGGAATTCCGGGGAATCGTCAGGTCCCTCCTAGAGGCCGGCATCCCTATCTCCGGGTGAACTGATCCCTGTCGCCTGGAGATCAGTTGTCATCCTAGGAGATCTCCAGCCACCACCTGGAGGCCGGCAGCCCTGTATAGAGAGAGCCAGTTTGGTGTGGTGGTTAAGTGCGCGGACTCTAATCTGGGAGAACCGGGTTTGATTCCCCACTCCTCCACTTGCACCTGCTGATGTGACCTTGGGTCAGTCACAAGCTCTGGCACAGCTGTCCTTGAAAAAGAGCAGTTTGTGTCAGAGTTCTCTCAGCCCCACCCACCTCACAGGGTGTCTGTTGTGGTGAGACTCCAAGTGAAGGGCGGGGTATAAATCCAATCTCTTCTCTTCTTCTTCTTCTATAGTGTAGATATTACTGCTAAACTCCATAGCTTGGCAATTCATTCTGGGAACTGGATGTTGTGCTGTTTCCCAACACCAATCTCCTTCTAATCTGGCTGAAACAGTTATAGTAAGAACAAAAGAACATCAGAAGAGCCCTGCTGGATCAGAGCAGTGGTCCATTCAGTCCAGCATCCTGTCTCACGGTGTGGCCAACCAGTTCCTCTGGACCACCGACGACAAAGCACAGGGGCCAAGGCCTTCTCCTGAGGTGGCCTCCTCCTGGCTCTGGGATTCAGGGGCTTAGTGCCCCTGAACGTGGAGGTTCCCCTCAGTCACCATGGCCACTAGCCACTGATAGACTGATCCTCCATGAATCTACCAAATCCCCTTTTCAAGCTGTTTACTCCTGTGGCCATCTCAACATCCTCTGGCAGCGAATTCCACATTTCAATGGCAACGTCTGCTCTTTTTCTTTAGGAACACATCTTGCAGATATGCTAATAAAGACGTTATTAAAAATACCTGCACGTCCGAAGTCACTTTCTGTGTCAACCCTTCTTTACTATTCCCAATTATCTCCCCAAACACTTTCACCTTGGAGGGGCCGGCTTGGGCCATGCCGGGGCACATTTCCTCTTCGCCCGTCATTTTGTTTCCTTGCCTAGGTCTGCCTCGGCCCAAGCCAGAAACTTCCCTGCGATGTCTAGTGGAAGTTATAAGGAGCAGGATGGAGCAGCGGACGTGGAATAGTGATGCACTGGTTTTATATATGGCTAATCCCAGGTTGCGGGAATGGCTCCACAGGGATGGTACAGGGCAGGCTGAAATGCAGATTCAGATTCAGATTCAGATTCAGAAGAGGAGGACGAGGAGGAGGAGGAGATTGGATTTATACCTCGCCCTTCACTACCCAGAGGAATCGCAGAGTGGCTTACAAACTCCTTTCCCTTCCCCTCCCCACAACAGACACCCTGTGGGGGAGGTGGGGTCTGAGAGAGCTCTGTCAAACTGTCTCTTTTTCAAGAACAGCTCTGAGAGAACTACGGCTTGCCCAAGGTCATCCAGCAGGTGCAAGTGGAGGAGTGGGGAATCGAACCCGGTTCTCCCAGATTAGAGTCCGCGCACTTAACCACGACACCCAACTGGGGAGCATGGTGGTTTTCAAGTTATCATCGCGGAGATCCAAGTTCACATCTCGTGCCATGGAAGCTGGCTAGGTGACCTCGGGCCAGTCCCGCTCTCTCAGCCTAGCCTACCTCACAGGGTGGTCGTGAAGATTAAATGGAGGAGGGGAGAATGACGTCAGCCGCTTTCGGCCCCCACTAGGGAGAAAGGTGGGGGAGCAAATGGATGGCATCGATTAGAGTCAGGCATTGATTTCGAGGGTCAGAAACAGGGTTGCCAACTCAGGTTTCGGATCCTCCTGGACGTTTTTTGGGGGAGATTGGGGGGGGATGTGGCTTGAGGAGAGAATGGGCCTCAGTTGGGTTTAATGCCATACAGCCCGCCCTCCAAATTGTCCCTTTCCCCCCAGGGGTACCGATCTCTGTCATCTGGAGATTAATTGCAGTTCCAGGAGATCTCCAGGCACCACCTGGAGGATGGCAACCTTAGACACGTGCGTGAGTTGGAACAAGACAGAGGCCCCCTCCTAGCAGTGAGACACGATTCCCTCAAGCTTATTAACATTTTGCAATTTTTGAGAAAAACTACCCAAGGGACTAAATAAGGCGGACCTCCTTGTAACAGGCAAATAAAAGTGTACGCTGAAAATTCAGGGAACGGGCTAAAGAGTGAAAAAAGAATATTCGAACAGAGAAATTTGTAGGAAGTATAGCTTACAGAACTGCCTCATGTGGTGGAAATGTAAGAAAGTTCAAAACTATTGGAAAACAATTCGTAAAGCTATACAAGAAATCTTAGAACTGAATCTCGACTTAAGACCAGAAATTTATTTATTAAATATGGTACCAGATGGATATAACTTTGAAGTCGTGTATTTAATAACATATATAATAACAGCTGCTAGAATGTTGTTGGCAAAGCATTGGAAACTAGAAAAATTACCCTCTAAAGCAGACCTAGCTTTAAAACTGTTAAGACCTTGCGCAAATGGATGATTTGAGTTTAAAATTACAGGGGAAGAATAACATGGTACAAAGTAATAGATGGAAAAGGGGTTTATAATTGGATAAAAAACTTGAAGGAATGAAAGACTCTGGAAATGTATGTAATCTGCAAAGATGTAATGTTTTATGCAAATTAAAATAAAACTTTTAAAAAGGGGGGGAAAAGAACTGCCTCTGGGGCCCCTCAGCACTTTCCCATGTCTGAACACGGGGGGGGGGGGATCTCCAAGAGCGTAAAAAGAGGACGCGTGTTCACCTCCCCGGCTACCACAGAAATGGAAGTATAAATGAAAATGAGGAAAAGCGAGGCTAAAGCTGAGGAAAAGAAACGTTCTTGAGGAGAAAGCTGCGAGGAAATTACTTTGGGAGCTATTTCTAGTTTCAAGACGAGCGATTTTGAAAACACGGGTGTGGCAGGGGGGGGGGGAGAATATCACCCCGGGGGAATAAAACAAGGACAGACGGTTCACCTGTTTGAGAACCCAGTAACGAAAGTATGAGTTACGCTGAGGGAAAATATTCCCGGGGAGAGAGTTGTGAGAACACTTGCTGAGTGGCTTATAAAATGGACGTCAGAAAACGGGGTTTGAAGGAACTTTGCCCCTGCCTCAGGCAATGCTCCCTCTAAGCTGAGGAGTCTTGTGAGCAAAAATCCTACTTTGTGAGCTACTGGCATTAAAGCTGTGAGCAAGCGATTTGGCTACTGCGTAAATTAGTTTACTCTGGAGCCCTCCTTCCTGAGCTAAGACAAAAAATGTGTGAGCTGGAGGCTAAAAAACTGTGAGCTAGCTCACACTAACTCAGCTTAGAGGGCACACTGCCCTCAGGGTATGCATGAAGGGGAAAAGTTCTCCCTTGGGGGAAGCAGTTAGAGCTCAGAGAGGGTTTTTTTTGAGGGGGGGTTGTCTAGAGTTTCAGGAGTATTCCAAAGCTATTCCATGCTGCCACATGGGATTGAACTGATACCACGAAGAACTGTCCATTTACTGCTTCCTGTTGTTTAATCGGTTTCTAGTCCACAAGGATGGGCAACGACCAAGGATGTCCAGGTTACTGCCGAGGCAGGCAATGGCGAACTATCTCAGTTCATCCCTCGCCTTGATGGCGCTTTCCACCACCGCGAATCCACAAGGACAACCCAGGACGGCTCAAGTTTACCTTGGAGCCTTAGCGAAGGACTTTGTCAATAGCTTTCTGGAAGTCCATGTCTACCTGATTAGTCTTGTCTCCATATGAGTTGCTAGCCACTGCAGGAACGATTTTGGAGGGTGAAGGATAGAACTTAAAAGTATAATAAGGTAACCCCCTCAAATAAGTTGGGGAGGCATAATGACTTCCTTTTTCAGAAGCCTGTGGATTCTTCCTCAGTAAGGCTGGTTCATCTATCTGCTTCTATTTGGTTTTTCAAAATTTGCACTCGTTTTTATGTAATTTTGATTTTATTTAATTATTTAAACTTAATTCAGCCAACACATCTGTCGTGCAAAAGTACCCGTCTTGCATTTTAGGGCTTCCCTGTTTCAACTCAGTAACCACCCTGCTACAGTAGACCTTATCTTGGATTCTATTGCAATGGTTTTCAGTAGCCTCCAACACCCACATCGTCTACACGCACAGCAAATCTGGGCACCAGTCAGGATTAAATCAAGGACCACTTTCCTCCTACCAACTCCACGAGGTACAGTCATTTAATATATCTAGAAATCTTGTCACATGTGCAAACTGAACACACATTTACCCAGTCAATGAAAGGATAATTGGAGTAGCGCATTACTGCATTTTCTCCTTTGGCTGCCTCCCTGATTTTTCCCCCTCTATCTCAAAATTACTCCTGGACTTTTGATTGGGGGAGGGAGGGGAATAGGATGACCTCATTACGAAATTATTTTTGGGTTCCTGTTAATTTTCTAGTCTATTGGACTCTCTGCCCTCACTGGCCTATAGAACACTACCTCAGCTGCCTTGAATTTATTTTTTTAAATTTGACATCCAATGAGAATCATAACCTTGTGATTCTTGGGGTTATACCAATTTTATAATATACTCACTATATCTAAGTTACTATGATGTAACCTTAAGGTTTCTGGCATTAGCAATATAAAGGCATACCTGAGCTACCTGGAAGTGACGATGGGTAGCTCTAGGAATCACTGATAACACTATGGAAACCAGAAATTCTTACCATAAAGTTTCTGGTGATTCCTAGAGCTACGCTTTGTCATTTCTGGGTAGCTCTAGGAATTCTCAGGAGTGCTGTGATTAGAACTTTCTGTAAATAGAGGCCTTATTTTTCTTTTTTTTAGTCTTTCTCCAACCAGCAATGGGGGGCAGGGGATCCCTGCCCACTGGAGGCTTGGCAGCCCTACTACAAATCAGATGTGGGTGCACAGGATCTGAATCTGGGCCACAGTGTAGGTTGAGGGGGTACAGAACTGCCTACACCCGACAAGTACGGTCACCTTCTGAGATCCTGCTTCGGGTCCCTCCGTCCTCTGAGATTAGGCAGCTGGCAACCCTGGAGAGGGCCTTCTTGGCACCAAAAGTCTGGGAAACTCTCCCCTTTCTGGTGGTGCCTTCCTCCAGCAGGTGAAGAATTCTTTGTGTCATTTGCCATCCCTTCAGCAATTCCTCCTTCCAGCCCGATCTCTTAATTGCTGCTTTTTTATCTTTTTGCATGTGTGTTTTAGCTCTGGTTTTAATGGTTTTACTGAGGTGGTTTTTGTTGATTTTAATCTTTTTGTATGTGTGTTTTAGCTCTGGTTTTAATGGTTTTACTGAGGTGGTTTTTTGTTGATTTTAATGGTTTTCTCGTGCATGTTTCTGATCTGTCGGCCACCTTGGTGGCCCTTCTGAGGACAGAAAGGCGGGGTCTGAATTTCATAAAATAAACAAACAAAATGAAGATCCCCGCACATTTTCCTGACGCAGCTCAGACCCAGAGCTGCTACTTTCCCCGTATGATAAACCATCACAATCACACTTACACTTTCTTCCCATTTGAGCGTAAAATAAACAAACAAACAAAATGAAGATCCCCACACATTTTCCTGATGCAGCTCAGCCCCAGAGCTGCTACTTTCCCCGTACGAGAAACCATCACACTTACACTTTCTTCCCATTTGAGCGTGCAGTGGGGTTGCCATCAGCCCCTCATCCCCAGCTCAGAAGAGTCCCACGGGAGATCCATTCATGGATCTCCTATCTAGACAGGCCCAGAGATTCCCAACACTTAAGCCCACCTCTTGTGCCTATCATGCAGTGGGCAACTCGATGCTTTTGTTTTAAACGGGCAATCCGACCCGAGGGCTACCAACCTCTGAGTGGCATCTGGAAATCTCCCACTATTACAATTGATCTCCGAACGACCTAGATCAGCTTGTCTGGAGGGTGGGTGGACTTTATGGCCTTATGACCTGCTGAGGTCCCCCCTCCTTCAAACCCAACCAGGCCGGCAACCCTACCAACAGCTGTCCGTTAACCTACCGTATCGATATAAAAGGTGTTGGACCCAACAAAGGTGATGGCATCTTGCAGATCATAATTGTGGACGCCATTTTGGTAGTCTTGGTATGGGACCACAGTGAGAGCAAAGGGGCCCACGCTGCGTTTGCTCATGTTGGTCAGCTTCACCTCCAGCTGTACCGGGTCTCCGACCTTGCAGTTGGCAATGATGTCACAGTCACACAGCTTTCCCTCCACTGACACATCTGGAAGACAAGGGACACAATGACACAGATTTAACAATTTGGTAGCCGGAGCTGGGAATGCACAAAAATTTCACAATGCCCCACTGGTACCCATGCGAACTAGCAGTCAAACGTAAATCCAGCAGAACTACTTATTTAATGTGCAAACAGTCGCATAGCCTCTGTTCAGAAATGACACACAAAGATCTCCCGTTGCATGTTTTCCAGATGAGAGTGTGACTGAGAACTGGGCCCAAAGCCTTATTACTCTAGGCCTGGTACAAACGTCTAACGTCGATGTTTGGAAGAGCTGGCAAAATGCATTTTACAATAGAGAGAGATCAGAGGGGGCAGAGAGATGTGCAAGGCACAAAATTAAGATGACAAAATTTGCACATATCTAAGTGTGGCTGCGGTTGGAGAGGACGTTTGGGGGGCCTGGGAGAGAAGGCCAGCAGCCTGGAGGCCTTCTTCATCAAACCATTCCGAACTGCGCAAGGTAAACAAGAAAGCAACGTTCTCACAGCTCCTCCAGCGAACCTTCCCGTGTCCCACATATTGCCAGAAACTCTAAGGTAACCTCGGTGACCATAAAACTCATGCCTAACAATGGACGCAACGCTGCTGGCTTTTCCCGGAGATGTTAAAAACAATAGAAAGATGAGCATTGGCTAGTCTGGCAGAGGTGGCTGGTCTGGTGACCTATGCCTAGGGGTTCTGTTCCTCCGGTAGGGGCAGGGAATCACCCAGCCACATTGTCCGCCACCACAGGAAATGACCCCTGGTGACCATAAAACTCATGCCTAACAATGGACGCAACGCTGCTGGCTTTTCCCAGAGATGTTAAAAACAATAGAAAGATGAGCATTGGCTAGTCTGGCAGAGGTGGCTGGTCTGGTGACCTATGCCTAGGGGTCCTGTTCCTCCGGTAGGGGCAGGGAATCACCCAGCCACATTGTCCGCCACCACTATGAGTGGCAGCAGGAAACAGTTTTTTAAACTGCGGTGTTAACGTGCGATGCTACATCACTTCCGACTCCACCATTACAGCCTGTGCCAGTCATAAGAACATAAGAGAAGCCAATGTGGGATCAGGCCAATGGCCCATCTAGTCCAACTCTCTCTCACACGGTGGCCAAAAATACCAGGTGCCATCAGGAGGTCCACCAGTGGGGCCAGGACACGAGAAGCCCTCCCACTGTTGCCCCCCCCTCAAGCACCAAGAATACAGAGCATCACTGGCCCCAAACCGAGAGTTCCAGTCTATACCTTGTGGCTGATAGACACTGATGGACCTCTGCTCCACATGCTTATCTAATTCCCTCTTGAAGTCGTCCATGCTTGTAGCCGCCACCACCTCCTGCGGCAGTGAATTCCATGTGTTAATCACTCTTTGGGTGAAAAAGTACTTCCTTTTGTCTGTTCTAACCTGACTGCTCAGCAATTTCATGGAGTGCCCATGAGTTCTTGTATTGTGAGAAAGGGAGAAAAGTACCTCTTTCTCAACCAGGTCTATCCCATGCATAATCTTGTAAACCTCAATCATGTTACCCCTCAGACGTTCTTTCTCCAAGCTAAAGAGCGCCAAGTGCTTTAACCTTTCTTCATAGGGAAAGTCGTATATACATGATAAAGATTGAGAACTGATGAATAAAGTAACCATTGCTGCCATCCCTAAAGTATGGGTTTACAACCCACTAGCACTTTGTGTTTTGAATTGTTTTTAGATGGTTTTATCTATGCCATAACGGTTCTTATGCTATCTTTTGTAAGCCACCCTGAGCCTGCTTCGGTGGGGAGAGTGGGGTATAAATCCAATAAATAAATAAAGACTATAAAATAAAAAAGCTGGAAATGACATAGGGTAGCTCTAGGAACCACCTGAAACTCTATGGTTTTACCACAGAGCTTCTGGCAATTCCTAGAGCCACTTTTTGTCACTTATGGTTTTTTGCCAGAAAAGACATGTGCCACAGCCATCATCACAGCTCCCCCATATCCTCACCCACAACCCAGAAAGCGCTTGGCAATCCTACCTTTGCCACGGTTACCACTCTTCCCAGATGAAAAACTAACTTCCTCATCATACCGACTCATGCTTCCCATGCAGGACTTCAGGTTTGTGGCTCAGACCCTGTAAACATGTTCTGGGCATGCCAGACGTCCTGTGCCATGCAGTGCACTTCCTCTTGTGCGAGGCACTTCCGTTTGTGCAAGGGCTGGCCGAAAGCCACTCATCTTGTGCAAGTGCAAGCACAAGAGGAAGTGTGCTTCACAGCACAGACTATATAGCATGCATGGAACTTGTTTGTAGGCTCTGAGCTCTTGTGTTTTCCCCCCAGATATTGCTCAAATTTCACCAGGCTGTCAAATATCAAGGAGAAAGGAGTGGAGAAGAAAGGCAAGAAGGGAATTTGGGAGATGAACAACCAACTGTAGGTTGGCTAGATTAGGGTTGCCAACTGCAGGCTGGGAAATTCCTGCAGATTTGGGGGGGTGGAGCCTGGGGAGGGGAGGGGCCTCAGCTGGGCCTAATGCCATGGACTCCACCCTGCAAAGCAGCCATTTTCTCCAGTGGAACTGATCTCTGTCGCCTGGAGACGGGTTGTAATTCCAGGGGCTCTCCAGGCCCCACCTGGAGGATGGCAACCACCACTATGATCAAGCCAGCACTGGAGGGCCAGCATTGCCTTTGCCATGGCCAGGAACCAACCGTCCAGTCCACAGAGAGGCTTTGAGAAGCTGAGCACGTGCGGCAGGAATTTGCGACGGAATACGTCCAGTGCGCTCACTAATGCCCAGCAAATGAGAGAGAAAACAGAGCTCTCTCTCTATGTTACCGGGCTAATAAAAGCTTGTCAGCTGGAGCGCACGCTCTCCCTTTCTCTCTCTCTCTGTGCGTTCTATTTTTTGCTCTGCAAGATGAGTGGGATGGTTACAAAAAAGGGAACGCTCAGAATGTGTCGGAAAGAGCTGACTTCAGAGCGGCACACCGCGTCACCCCCCTCGCTGCAGGTTCTGTTCATTAAGCTCTGCACGTCTCCAAAGCAGAGGCCGAAGCAGACATCCAGGAGCTTTGGTCAAGGCCTGCCTGCCAGCCAAGGGTCAGCCTCTGGGGGAGGGTTTGAAGCAGCCGCCTGCTGGCAGAGAACCACACCCCCCATCACCTTTGAAATCCGGCGGCTATTGGAAATGCTGCTGCGCAGCCTCTCCAAAAGACAAAAGGCTGCCTTTCAACAATTTGTTTTTTAAAAAAATAATGCTTGCTTTGGGGGAGATAGTTTCTGAGGGCAGCCAAATTGGTCTGCAGTGGTCTTTGGTGGCCTCCCATCCAAGTACCTCTTGGATAACCAAGCACCTGAGAGGATAACCTCTCGTTTCCCAAGTGGGCTGAAAGTAGCTCAAGAGCTGTTGGCAGACTGCCTCTGGCCAACTCAGAAGCACCGATAAGTAATTCCCAGTCGCTCTCTCCTAGTTTTCACACCCACCCCATCTCCATGCCAGATTGGGAATGCCAGGGCAAGACTTAGGGTTACCAAACTTCGGATGGGGCCTAGAGTGATGCTCTGCCTTCTTGGTGCTTGGGGGACAATAGGGCTTCTGGAGTTCTGGCCCCACTGGTGGACCTCCTGATGGCACCTGGGCTTTGGCCGCTGTGTGGCACCGAGTGTTGGACTGGAGGGGCCACTGGCCTGATCCAGCATGGCTTCTCTTATGTTCTTATGTCCAGGGCAGTGATGCTCTGTCTTCTTGGTGCTTTTGGAACCACAGTGGGTGGGCTTCTGGAGTTCTGGCCCCACTGGTGGACCTCCTGATGGCACTTGGGCTTTGGCCGCTGTGTGACACAGAATGTTGGACTGGAGGGGCCATTGAGCTGACCCAGCATGGCTTCACTTATGTTCTTATGTCCAGAGCAGTGATACTCTGTCTTCTTGATGCTTGTGGAACCACAGTGGGTGGGCTTCTGGGGTTCGGGCCCCGCTGGTGGACCTCCTGATGGCACCTGGGATGGACTAGATGGGTCACTGGCCTGATCCAACATGGCTTCACTTATCTTCTTATAAGATCTCCCAGAATTACAACTGATGTCCAGACAGCAGAGATCAGTTCCACTGGAGAAAATGGCAGCTCTGGAGGGCTGACTCTATAACCCAATGGGATTCTTTCCCTCCCCTCCACTGGCTCCACCCCTAAATCTCCAGGGATTTCCCAAAATAGAGTTGGCAACCCTAGCAATAAAGCTTGGGAAATCAGTGAGAAGCCTGACAGACAAGCTAGAAACAATTTCCAGTCATACAGCTTTTTTTGTAATTCTGACATTCTGCAGAATTTGCATTAAATAATCACCTGCACATAACCAATTCTGGCATATCAGGTATACCAAACCATTTCTTGCATTGGAGATCCAATACCAGTTGAACTGTTGAGCTAGACGGACCAATAGCACGAATGGCAGCAGACAAGGGAGTGAACTTCAGCAACACCTGATGTTACTGTCAGTATACAACAATGCACAGATTTGATCTCACCAACTCATCAGACGCAGACGTGCCTTTTTTAGCCAAAATGACAGAGGATGAGGCAGATTAATGCAGGTACTGAGAGCCAGTGTGGTATAGCGGTGAAGTGCAGTGGACTCTAAACTGGAAAACTGAGTTTGATTTCCCACTCCTCCACTTTGGGTCAGTCACAGTTCTCTCAGTGCTCTCTAAGCCCCACCTACCTCGCAGGGTGCCTGTTGGGGGAAGAGGAAGAGGATTGTAAGCCACTTCGAGATTCCTTCTTGTAGTGAAGAGCGGGGTATAAAACCAACTACTACTACTCTTCCTCCTCCTCTTCTTCACTGTTAAGTGTCGTGCCCACCCTGCGCCCCTGGTGCAGCACCTCCCGTGGCCATGGCACGTCTTTCTGAGGCGGGGTCGTCGGTCCTGGGAGTCAGGATGCTGAAGGCGGAGGGGGGGGAGCATTGGGGCCTCAAATGAGCAAAGGACGGGGGTTGACTTCACCCCATAAGTCCCTGTGCCATCGTGCAAGGTGCTGTCCGTTGGCTCACTCTTGTTCTGTCATCGCCTGCACGTTTTTCCTCCTCCCCGCCCCTTCGCTTTCCCCTTCTTTTATTCGCTTCCTGGCTCCCAGCACCGCCACTTCCCCCTTTCTCCCAGCCCCACCCCCTGTAATAAGCCTGGATGCTACCCCGGCGTCTAGGGTGTGACTGGAGCTGGGTCGGTGTGTGGGGAGCTCCGAGGTTGGGTGCCGGCCGTCAGCCTCTCCATGGCGTCGCCTGTGTTGCCGCCGCCCTGCCTTTGCACCCTTGGTTCTGTGGCCGAGCCCGGCTGGAATCTTGTGCCTCTCGGGTGGGGCCGGCGGCTGGTGTGTCATGTTGTCCTGGCTTTGGCGCCCGTCCTGGTGTTGGTTTCGTTTGTGCGGGGGATGCTCCGGGTGAGTCTGTTGACCAGGGGGTGCTCAGGGTGTGTGGACGGAGTCCCGAGACCTCTGGACTGGGACAAACAGTGATTTAAGAACATAAGAAGAGCCCTGCTGGATCAGAACAGTGGTCCATCTAGTCCAGCATCTTGTCTCACACAGCAGCCAACCAGTTCCTCCAAAGGGCCAACAAAAGGTCCAATCCCGGCCACCTCCGATCAAAAGGACAAGGTAATAAGTGATGTGAAAGACTTCTGCCTGAGACCCTGGAGAGCTGCTACCAATCCGAGTAGACAATATTGACCTTGATGGAATAAGGGACTGATACACTATAAGGTAACTATAAGGTAGCCTAACTATGGAGGCCTAGGTAGCACCAAATCAGCCTTTTACCTTCTACGGCTGATGGGGCAGTTGGTTCCCTTCCTCGAACACAATGGCCTGGCGACAGTGATCCATGCGATGGTCACCTCGAGATTGGATTACTGCAATGCTCTCTTCATGGGGCTGCCCTTGTCGCAAATCCAGAAGCTGCAGCTGGTGCAAAACGCCATGGCCAGGCTTCTGATGGGGCTCTCTAGAGGGGAGCACATATAGCCTGTGCTAAAGGAACTGCACTGGCTGCCGATAGCATACTGGATTCGTTTCAAGGTGCTGGTTCTTACCTT